GACTGAGATAAGGATATTGGGACATTTACTTGCTGTCTCTCTTCTCAAGGTGGGTATTTTGTGGTTTACCCTTTCAATGAGAGTGGAGCCTGTAGGAGTTCTAGCCTTATTCAGGAGGATTCTGACCTAGCTGCTTTTTTTGTACAAGCTCTAGCTTTGTCCACTGTCCCCTGAGAAATCATCAAGGTTGAAACTCTGTCACTGGGGATTTGGCAGATGCCTCTAGAACTGTCACCAATTTCAGCCTTATGTTTTGTTCATGCTTTTTGCTTTTTTATGTTCAAGCTGGTTTTTTTGTGTGTTTTTTTGAGACAGAGTCTCACTCTGTTACCCAGGCTAGAGTGAGTGCTGTGGTGTCAGCCTAGTTCACAGCAACCTCAAACTCCTGGGCTCAAGCAATCCTCCTGCCTCAGCCTCCCGAGTAGCTGGGACTACAGGCATGTGCTACCATGCCCGGCTAATTTTTTCTATATATTTTTAGTTGGCCAATTAATTTCTTTCTATTTTTAGTAGACACGGGGGTCTCACTCTTGCTCAGGCTGATTTCGAACTCCTGACCTTGAACGATCCACCCACCTCACCCTCCCAGAGTGCTAGGATTACAGGCGTGAGCCACTGCGCCCGGTCCTCAAGCTGGGATTTTTATGTGTTCTGTAGGAGAATAATTGTTGAGAGTATTTAGTCTCTTATATTACTGAAACTAGGTTGAATTTTTGTATTCTTCCCTCACCTCCTGTAAGTTCTATGAGAGTAGAGGGTTGGTCTACATTGTTCCCTGCTGTTTTCCCAGCACCTAGCCCTGAGCCTGGCACGCAGAAAGTGACCAATAAATATTTATTGAATATATGAATGTGGAAAGAAGGGAGTTCCCAGAAAGGCAAGAGAGAAAAAAATTCAGATAAGGACTGAAAATAGGCTATTGTATGTGGCAATTAGGTTGTTCTGAGAATAGATTTGGAAATTTCTTTTCTTTTTCTTGAGAAAGAATATTGCTCTTGTTGCCCATGATAGAGTGCCATGGCGTGAACCTAGCTCACAGAAACCTCAAACTCCTGGGCTTACTTGATCCTCCTGCCTCAGCCTCCTGAGTAGCTGGACTACAGGTGCACCACCACCACGCCAAGCCACGTTTTTTTTTTTGTTTTTTTTTTGAGACAGAGTCTCGCTTTGTTGCCCAGGCTAGAGTACCCTGGCGTCAGCCTAGCTCACAGCAACCTCAAACTCCTGGCTCAAGCAATCCTCCTGCCTCAGCCTCCCGAGTAGCTGGGACTACAGGCTTTCGCCACCATGCCCGGCTAATTTTTTTTTTTTTTGTATATGTATTAGTTGGCCAATTAATTTCTTTCTATTTATAGTAGAGACGGGGTCTCGCTCTTGCTCAGGCTGGTTTTGAACTCCTGACCTCGAGCAATCCGCCCGCCTTGGCCTCCCAGAGAGCTAGGATTACAGGCGTGAGCCACCGCGCCCGGCCCAAGCCACGTTTTTTCTATTTTTGGTAGAGACTGTGTCTTTCATTCTTTCTCAGGCTGGTCTCAAACTCCTGAGCTCAAGGGATCCTCCCACCTTGGCCTCCCAGAGTGCCACAATTACAGGCCTGGTCTGTATTTGTAAGTTAAAGAGAATGATCTTGTGGAGTAAAATAAATTATGATAGAGAGGAGGGATAATTGGTAGATCACAATATTTTAGAAGAGACAGATGGGAGGGCAAAGGCTTGAGTTAAAACTTTTGTAAGGAGATCCTCTTTTAGCCAGGCAGGAAGATATATATAGATGGATGCCCTCACAGGTCAATTTAGAGGTCAAAAGGAGGAATGTTGGGGAATTTGGCACATTTGTCTATTTTCCTTTTGAGGTAGACTGCAAAGTTGCTATAAAAGAGGCAGGCCGGCACGGGCATGGTGGCTCACGCCTGTAATCCTAGCACTCTGGGAGGCAGAGGCGGGTGGATTGCTCAAGGTCAGGAGTTTGAAACTAGCCTGAGCAAGAGTGAGACCCCGTCTCTACTATAAATAGAAAGAAATTAATTGGCCAACTAATATATATAGAAAAAATTAGCTGGGCATGGTGGTGCATGCCTGTAGTCCCAGCTACTCGGGAGGCTGAGGCAGAAGGATTGCTTGAGACCAGGAGTTTGAGGTTGCTGTGAGCTAGGCTGACGCCACGGCACTCACTCTGGCCCAGGCAACAAAGCGAGACTCTGTCTCAAAAAAAATAAAAAATAAAAATAAAAAATAAAAGGCAGAGGCTGGGACAAGAGCCTCAAGCATAGCAGCTGTGGGAAATTCACAAGGCATCTGGCTCCCTATGAGGACTATCAAGTCAAGACTGGAAGCCATGTATTGGTACCAGTCCCAACTGGTGATTAACCAACGCTCTCCTGTAAAGCAATAGCTAACACCCAGAAGTGGAGAAAACATATCTCTATCCTCAGTACCTTGAACAACTCTAGGTATATCACTAAGCCCTTGATAAATATTTCTTGAATGAGCAAATAAACATAAAGGTTAGATTGATCTAGAACTGAGGAGTGGTGAAGTAGTTGGGACCAAAGAACAAAAGACAAAGGTAACAGAGGGTGTGGTCAAAGTGTTTTGAAATCATTGTCCATGATGTCTAAGGTGGACAGGAAAAGAAATGAAGCCAGAAAGAATGTGGTAGACTGGAACTATAGTTGACTCAAACTAGGCGATACCAAATTGAAGGAGGAATGACGATTTAAAAGTTTTAGAAAATTTGTGGGTTCTGAAGTGAAAGAAGCAGATACTTAGAGAACTGATCCAGGTGACAGAAACCCAAGAAATGGGTAGAAAACTTGTTTTACTATTCAATTTTAATTATTCTTCTTTTGGCCTGGATCACAGAACTCAGACTTTTCTTCTGTGAAGTCTGACAATGGGGCCTACAGCTGCAGGTTCCAGTTGAACTAGGCTCCTAATTGCTATTGGCTGAGCAGGTGATGTGAGCAATACTCAGAATCCTATTAACTAATAATGGATAAATACCAAATCAGAAGTCTGTAGTGCATACCAGCAGGCTCTGATGGGAGTGCTGTCCTGTTCAACATTTGTACAAATAAATGGTTTAGTTAAGAGCATTGATGACAGATGATCACATTTGTAGATATCAAGAATATGGGAGGGACATGAATATATTGAGTAGTAGAATTAGAATACAAAGAGGTCTCGGCAGACAGGACAAATCTAATAAGATGTAGTGTATTTTTGGTTTTTTTGAGACTCTTGCTCTGTCACCCTGGCTAGAGTGCAGTGGGTGGAGCTGAGACTTACTGCAGGAATATAGCTCTATATTCAAGCTGAAGAAGAAAGAATCTTATTTCCAGGGGTTGAATTACCTGCCATCTAATAGCTTGTATTAGAAAATACAAGTGTTCTTGTTTTTCAAAAAAACTCAACAAACATCACAGACAGATTCGTCAGTAGGAACAAGCCTCAGCCTGGTTCACCAGCATAGCCTCTTGGGCAGGAGTCTGCTGGAGGAAGGTAGAAATTGCCAAAGGCTCAGAAAGCATTCTGCTTCCTTTATCCATTTTAGCCGGGCAAGGATGAGTTTGTGTCTTATGTCTGCTGTTTCCTGTGGCTTTCATTTCAAATTGCAGAAAAAAGGTGATATGCCTAGATTCTTTCCCTAAAACAGCTTTCCAGCCGAGTACAAGGAAGACAAAGCAATCCTGCTCCTTCACAGTTCTGTTCTTGCATCACTCCACAGGACAAGGGACACTCTCACAATAGCTTTTTCCTACTGTCAGGAGGAACCATAAGCCGAGATTTCCAAAGGCACTAGTAGTTGGTTCCCAAGTATCCCAGAGCAGGATTTTATTTTAGCATAGGAACAAATTCCATGTATTGCGTATCTATTTTGCCAGCCATGATACAAGTTTCTTTTCATATGTCCCATTTAATTATAACAAAAGACATAGAAGGTTTGTATTGTCATTATCCCCATATTACAGATGAAGGGACCAAGGCTCAAAAGGTTAAATAACTCTATTCTTAAACAGTAACTTCCTGGCTAGGCATGGTGGCTCACACCTGTAATCGCAGCACTCTGGGAGGCCGAGGTGGGAGGATTGCTTGAGCTCAGGAGTTTGAGACAAGCCTGAGAAAGAGTGAGACCCCATCTCTATCTAAAAAAAAACAACAAAAAATAAAATGAGAAGACAGAAAAAAAACCCCAGTAACTTCCTGTGGTAAAGGAGATGTTTAAGAACAGTGCTGACAGGTGGGAAGTGACATCTGGGGGCAGGAGTAAGAAGCATGAAAATGTGGGGAGAATGGAAGAGGTAGAAATAGCAAATTGAGAGCCAAAAAAATGCAGATCCTAGAACTAAAATGCAGATCAAGAACTAATATTCTCCCCTACCACTGAGTCTGGGCCATGTTTTAGGTGTGTGTTGAACAAATCTGCACAGCAACCATTTGGTTTCTGTTTTTCTGTGACAACACAGACACTGTGGGCACTGGTGAAGATGATCGTGGGCTGTGGGGAGGAAGTGGGACCGCTGAGTCAAGGGGAAATTGTGCAAAAAAGCAGATTCTCTTGGTACACACTCTCATCTATGCCCCTTCCCTCGGCACACTATCAAGGTAGGAAGGGGCTCAAGACCCTGATTTTCCCTTGATTCACAGCAGTCACAGTTAAGGGCTGAGCCCTGCACACACTTTGTTTTACTTTTACTAATTAAGTAAATTCCTATTCAGTTGAGGGATCCCTTTGGTGCAAGAGGGGAAGGGTAGAAGCTTTTGCTTTCCATTTTCACCCCAGGTGCCACTTTCAAAGCCAGAGAGGGTAGAAAGAAGTTGAAGGATCCCATCTGATGAAGGTGTTACCAGAAGGTGTGGTAAGGAAAAGAAGCCAGGCACAGAGGGGCAGGAATAAGAATAGGCACTATTGTGAGGACTAGATGGGCACAGGCCTGAGTTACAAAAACCCCTTCCTCAAGTCAGCACAGTGGTTCTCAGCCAGGGAACTCCAGGGGACATTTGGTAATGTACAGGGACTTCTTTGATTGTCTCGACTAAAGGAAATGACTCAGAAATGCAATGGAGGAAGCCTGAGAATGACTCAAACTTCCCTAATCATAAAAGGCACTTCAGACATGGACCTTAATGTCAAACCAGAACTCATGATCACTGAGTGACTTTCCTTTGTATTTCTGAGTAGGTGGTATCTGCATAGGGTGACTTTAGCAACAGTAAGTTGCCTCTCCCAAACAACTTCCCCCTTAAGTCTGCTAATGTTTGAATTTCTACTATGAGAGTTTGTCTCCAGTTAAAAATGTAGGTCTATGGGAGGGCTCTGGCATCCGGGATGGAGACGCATTGTTTTCTGTGGCTGGAGTTGGAGCCACCTTGGGTCGCCGGCCAGGGCAGCGGAGATGGTAGGTAGAGGCCAGGGTGGAATGGGACAGGAGATGCCGAGTAGGGGCTGAGGCGGCTCGGGACGTGGAAGCGCATGAGTCCTCAAGCTCTGAGCTCCAGACCCGGCCGCGCAGCCGCCGCCGGGGCCGAAGAGCAAGAACCCTTTCACTCGCGCGCAGGACTGGCGGCGGCGGCGGCGGAACAAGATGGTCCTCACGTATGTGGCCGCAGCCCGCAGGCTAGGGGCGTCCTATGCCGCCGTGCCCCTATATCGCCTTTACTGCCAGACTACCGGACTTGGGAGATCAGCAGTTGCAGGTCATGCATCAGATCAGATTGAAAACATGGTGCCTGTTAAGGATCGAATAATTAAAGTTACCTTTAATGCAGGTGTGCATGCAAGTCTTCAGTGGAACTTTAGACCTCAGCAAACAGAAATATATGTGGTGCCAGGAGAGACTGCACTGGCATTTTATAAAGCTAAGAATCCTACTGACAAACCAGTAATTGGAATTTCTACATACAACGTTGTTCCATTTGAAGCTGGGCAGTATTTCAATAAAATACAGTGCTTCTGTTTTGAAGAACAAAGGCTTAATCCCCAAGAGGAAGTAGATATGCAGTGTTTTTCTACATTGATCCTGAATTTGCTGAAGATCCAAAAATGGTGAATGTCGATCTCATCACGCTTTCTTATACTTTTTTTGAAGCAAAAGAAGGATACAAATTGCCAGTTCCAGGCTATAATTGATGTCAGCAACTAAGTCCTGCTTCAAATTTGTGATTTTTGAAAAATCATGTATCCTGCTTTCTTAAAGGAGAAATATTCTACAATAATGTGAACCCTATTTTAAATGGTTCTACCTGTTTTTTTCCTTTGATTTGCCCCACTTAAAAGCTGAACCTGTTCTCAATTTACTCATATATTCTAGATAGGCATATGGGTTTCTTCTGATGATTCAACCAAATTATTAGCCCTTCATATTTGTAGCAATGAATCTGAGAATTAAAAAAAAAATTTATGCCCAGGGTTATGTTTCAGGTCATAGCCAGAACTATTTACCATATTTATTATTATGTCTAAATTAGTTGGTTGCTATTTTCCCTCAGTATGAACAGTCACTATTTTAAAAGCTCAGAGTAGGAGTCACTAGGCTCTAACAGATTGCTCAAAGATTTACATTCTTATTTCAAATTTGACTTTATTTTCCCTTTAAGAACTAGAGCTATTTTACATTCAGAGTTAACTGTGGTGTCATGAAATTGAAATAAAATATGTAAGTATATCTACTAAGCTGCTAGCATTCCAAGTCCCTGGATGTCAAAATGTAATGGTGGGATTATGAAGATTTCTTCTGAGAACAAACTGTAAAAAAGTAAAAAAGATGTATTAAATTATTTTAATAGTAAAAAAAATGTAAATACTCTTATAGGGTAACTTCCAGGGGTCAAGAAAAAAAATTTTTTTTTTAATTTTAAAAATGTAAATACTCAAGTGACCTAGAAAAAAGGCTGAAATAATCAGAACTAACTCTAATTAGATGATTAGTGGAAACATCATAGATATAGGGGACAACAAACTTATATTTAAAAACGTTGCTTATTTATCATCTTTCATAGCAAGACTCAGATACTGTCCAAAGTTGCAATGTAATTATAATAATGACTATAATTTCATAAAGATTTTTATATTCATTTTAATGTTAGAAGGATTGTTTAGAACTTGTCACTTCTTGTAGTGGGAAAAAAATTATCTGAATTCTAGCAATTCCTTAAATTTTACTTCAACATTTTTTCCTTTGGTTAAAGTAAAAATACTTTAATTGAATTAAAATGTCAACATGAAAAAAAATGTAAATACCCCAGGATAGGTGTCAGTTTGATGCTGTTAATTGAGTTTGGTATTATAAGGTATGTAACTGGCACTAGATCAAGAATGATGCTTGGAGCTGGGTGTGGTTGGCTCATGCCTATAATCCCAGTGACTTGAGAGGTTGAGGCAGGAGGATTGCTTGAGCCCAGGAGTTTGAATGCAGCCTGCAACATAGTAAGACCCCCATCTCTAAATAAATAAAAAATAAAAAAAATTATGCTTGTTGCTGGGTATATTGTCTTAGCAGTTAATATATGAATAATTTGAAAAAAGTTCATATATAGTATTAATTCTATTTAGTTCAGTCTTTGAAATCTAAATATTAAAGATTTTTTTTTTTTGAGACAGTCTCACTTTGTTGCCCAGGCTAGAGTGAATGCTGTGCCGTCAGCCTAGCTCACAGCAACCTCAAACTCCTGGGGTCAAGCAATCCTGCTGCCTCAGCCTCCCGAGTAGCTGGGACTACAGGCATGCGCCACCATGCCTGGCTAATTTTTTTCTATATATATTAGTTGGCCAATTAATTTTTTTTTTATTTATTTATAGTAGAGACAAGGTCTCCCTCTTGCTCAGCTGGTTTTGAACTCCTGACCTCGAGCAATCCGCCCGCCTGGGCCTCCCAGAGTGCTAGGATTACAGGCGTGAGCCACTGCTCCTGGCCTATTTATTTATTTTTTGGAGATAATGTCTCACTCTGTTACCCAGGCTGGAGTACAGAGGGTGATCATAGCTCACTGCAGCCTTGAACTCCTGGGCTCAAGTGATCCTCCCACCTCAGCCTACCAAGTAGCTGGAACTACTGTCATGTGCCACTATGCCTGGCTGATTTTTCTTGTTTTTTGTAGAGATGGGGTCTCATTATATTGCTAGGCTCATATTTCATATTAATCTCTAACATCTGTCCAAAATGAAAATATGTCAGAACAAGGTTGAAATAATACTACCTAAAAACACTAAGTAGCTCTGTCAATAAACTGCAGTTTATACCAAAAACTTTTCTCTCACCTGAAGGGGCCACTTTACCACAATGTGGTTATCAGTATTTAGTGCTGTGTCTCTTCCTGTCATAAGGAGACATTTTAATGTCTTCTAGAAAAAGCCATCCTTGGCTGATAATCTTGAGTACTTGGCCTTTACCTGTTGTTAGTCATGTGGTTCATCTAAAAGTTTTCCAAAAGGGAGACCCAGCTTTGTCTGGAAAGTGATCTTCTAATGAAGATCCCTAGATCATTAGAGGTTTCATTTCCCTGCTTATTCACTGCTGTCACCAGTCTTTTTAAAGAGGTCAAACTCTTATTTTTCCTGAATACTTACATAGTAATCTGAACATACGTTAGCAAACAATTCATTCTATCAACAGATATTTATTGAACACATATTATGTGTCAACACCATTCTTTCTTCTTTTCTTTTTTTTAAAATTTTTTGAGACAGTCTCACTCTGTTGCCCAGGCTAGAGTGCCATGGCGTCAGCCTAGCTCACAGCAACCTCAAACTCCTGGGCTCAAGCAATCCTTCTGCCTCAGCCTACCAAGTAGCTGGGACTACAGGCATGCGCCACCATGCCTGGCTAATTTTTTCTATATATTTTTAGTTGGCCAATTAATTGCTTTCTATTTGTAGTAGAGGGGGGGGTCTCGCTCTTGCTCAGGCTGGTTTCGAACTCCTGACCTTGAGCGATCCTCCTGCCTCGGCCTCCCAGAGTGCTAGGATTACAGGCCTGAACCACTGCACCTGGGCCTAAAGTTGGGAACTTTAAGCCCAATTACTGCATAATTGGTTTCCATCTCTGTAACTTTTGGACCCTGCCCCAAATGCAGAACTCTCCTACTCACCTATGCTTTCATCCCTAGTCCCCTCATTTCTCTGATGCCTTTCCCCACCTTGTTCTCTCATTCTCTTTAAAGAGTTTCCCTCAACCTATTCATTCAAATTACAGCTAGGTTTCTTCCAGGACACTGCTTTATGTGTAGATCAAGAGGGTTTTTTACTCCAGTATCAGAAAAAGAGGGAACTGAGATACACATAGCTCCCTAGTGTCACTTCCAGATCATAAGGTGCCTGAAAGCCACTCCTTTGCACAACTCTAAGGGACACTATTCCTTTATTCTTCCAAGATATAGTCATGTTGAGTAATGACATTTCAGTCAATGATGAACCACATTTATGATGGTGGTTCAATATGATTATAATGGGGCTGAAAAATTCCTATTGGCTAGTGACATCTTTTTTTTTTTTTGAGACAAAGAGTCTTGCTTTGTTGCCCAGGCTAGAGTGAGTGCCGTGGCGTCAGCCTAGCTCACAGCAACCTCAAACTCCTGGGCTTAAGTGATCCTCCTGCCTCAGCCACCTGAGTAGCTGGGACTACAGGCATGTACCACCATGCCTGGCTAATTTTTTCTATATATATTAGTTGGCCAATTAATGTCTTTCTATTTGTAGTAGAGACGGGGGTCTCGCTGTTGCTCAGGCTGGTTTCGAACTCCTGACCTCGAGCAATCCACCCGCCTCGGCCTCCAAGAGTGCTAGGATTACAGGCGTGAGCCACCGCACCCAGCCCACCTAGTGACATCTTGAGCAATCTGACCCTTTATAGGTTAGCTTAATGTGTGTGTTTGTGTCATTTTTAACAAAAAAGTTTACAAAGTAAATAAATAAATTTAAAAATAGAAAAAAGCTTATAGAATAAGGATATAAGAAAATATTTTTTTTACAGCTGTTCGATGTATTTGTTTTAAGCTAAATGTTATTATAAAAGTCAAAAGCTAAAAAAATTAAAGTTTATAAAGTAAAAAGAACGGGCCAGGTGTGGTGGCTCACACCTGAAATCCTAGCACTCTGGGAGGCTGAGGCAGGAGGATCGCTCAAGGTCAGGAGTTGGAAACCAGCCTGAGCAAGGGTGAGACCCCATCTTTACTAAAAATAGAAAGAAATTAATTGGCCAACTAAAAAAATATACAAAAAATTAGCCGGGCATGGTGGCACACACTTGTAGTCCCAGCTACTTGGGAAGCTGATGCAGGAGGATCGCTTGAGCCCAGGATTTTGAGGTTGCTGTGAGCTAGTCTGATGCCATGGCACTCTAGCCCGGGCAACAGAGTGAGACACTGTCTCAATAAATAAATAAATAAATAAATAACAGTGAGCTAAGATCAATTTACTATTGAAGAAAGAAAACTTTTCTTTTTTTTTTGAGACAGTGTCTCACTCTGTTGCCCAGGCTGGAGTGCCGTGGCGTCAGCCTAGCTCACAGCAACCTCAAACTCCTGGGCTCAAGCGATCTTCCTGCCTCAGCTTCCCGAGTAGCTGGGACTACAGGCGTGGGCCACCATACCTGGCTAATTTTTTCTATGTATTTTTAGTTGTCTAGCTAATTTCTTTCTAATTTTTTTGTTTGTTTGTTTGAGACAGAGTCTCGCTTTTGTTGCCCAGGCTAGAGTGAGTGCCGTGGCATCAGCCTAGCTCACAGCAACCTCAAACTCCTGGGCTCAGGCAATCCTCCTGCCTCAGCCTCATGAGTAGCTGGGACTACAGGCATGTGCCACCATGCCCAGCTAATTTTATATATATATATTAGTTGGCCAATTAATTTCTTTCTATTCATAGTAGAGATGGGGTTTCGCTCTTGCTCAGGGTGGTTTCGAACTCCTGACCTCGAGCAATCCGTCCACCTTGGCCTCCCAGAGTGCTAGGATTACAGGCGTGAGCCACTGCGCCCGGCCCCTTTCTAATTTTTTAGTAGAGACTCGGTCTCATTCTTGCATAGACTAAAGAAAACTTTTTAAAATAAGTTCAGTATAGCCTAAGTATACATTGTTTATAAAGTCTACAGTAGTGTACATTAATGTCTAAGCCTTCATATTCACTCTCCCACTGACTCCCCCAAAACAATGTCCAGTCCTGCAAGCTGCATTTATGGTAAGTGACACATACAGGTATACCATTAAAAAATTTCTTTATACTGTAATTTTACTGTATATTTTCTATGTTTAAATATGTTTAGATACATAAATACTTACAATTATGTTACATATACCTACA